TCGTGTACGCAGATATTTCTTGATGCAACACTGTTTACAGAATCTTTGTTAGAACAAGGGGAAAAAAGATCGGATGGTGAAAGCTCTGGCTTTGTGGGGATGTGGCCTTATTGTGATTTAAAGGGGTCATATAATACCATTTTTGTACAAGCTAATATGATTCTTTAGGGTCTAAATTAAAAGTTTGTAATATACTTTAATTAAAAATTCTCGTTAGTATTGTAAGAAAACACTTATTTTACCTGGTCAAAAACAGCTCTGTTTTCAGCACGCCGTTTCAGTGCATATGACTTTAAATGATAATGAGCTTTGCTCACCCCGCCTCTCTGTGCTGTGCGTACACCGTTTGTAACACAATAACCATAACGCGTTGTTCATTATAAACGTGGGATTATTAATTATATTGAGAACGTCGTAACGTTACATAGAATATGGTCCTGTTCCTCACGCCTCTCCATTGTTTCATGTCTATATCTAATGTACTAAAAATAGTTGAAAAACTATTTTTAGTTTTTAAATTTTTAAATTTGGAGATTTGTTTGTGTCTGTAACTCTGTATTGGATAAAATAAAAACTTGCCACTGTTTTCACTTTGTAGGACCTATGAATGGCTTACCCTATTATCCTGCCTATAAAGGATTAGGTTAACAAAGATTAATACATTCTATAACAAATGTATTGCTCTGTTAGTTAATGCATTAACTAATGGGACCTTGTCGAGGTGTTCTATTTTTACAAATGTTTTGCATGTATAATGTTTCCTGGTACATTGTGTCAGAAGTTTGACCAAGTGTTGTGTGTGTTGTGACAGCGCTCTGCACAGGCAGCAGTGGAGAACAGTGACCGAATCTTCACCGAGATCATCCGCTCCATTCAGAACATGCGAGCCGAGGTGAGAGAGAAGATCAGAGCTCAGGAGAACAAGGAAGTGCGAGATGCAGAGAGTCACATACAGAGACTGGAGGAGGACATTGTTAAACTACAGAAGGAGAATAGTAAACTGGAGCCACTTTTACATACAGAGGATCACATTTATTTCTTCCAGGTGGTGAAAAAAATATCTAGAGGATGGTTATTTTAATGAAATTCTGTAACTTTTTTTATTTATTTATTTTATTCTTTTTTCTTTTCTTACAATTGCAGAATTGCACTTTCTCTTCCGCAATGTTTCAGTACCATTCATCCAAAGATGTTCATAACCTGACATTTGAGAAATTAGAACAATCTCTCTCAGAGCTGAAAAGCCAACTGGATGAAGTCTGTGAAGAGCACATGGGCAGAATATTTAACAAAGGTGAAATAACACAGTCTTCATACATTTATTCTGAGAAATCTCACAATTTAAGTGAATAATGTGTGTTTGTCTTTGTAGTGGATGATGTTCAAATGTTCAACGAAACTGAAAGGTCCCAGAGCAGTAAGTACCTTTTTATAGAAAAAAAAAGAGACTGAACGTGATTCAATACTCACAGTGACGTTCTTTTCCGTTCTTCTTTTCATGTGTCATAGAACGGAAGAGAAGCTCTCTGGAAAGCGGGTAAAAGTCACATCATTTAGATTTTCCTTGCAAAAACTTAATTTCACTTCCTTACATATAGGCCCCTTTAATATTTATTATATTTTAGGCCATTTATTCTCGTATTATTTGGTTCTTGTTATTTTTGTTGTGGAAAAAGGTTTCAATAAAACACTACTTAGAAAACAGGCTCACATTATACTTGTTTTTAGCACTTAACTGTCATGTGATTTGAGCTCTTTTCATGTTTCATTTTTTAAAATCTAGTTTACCCCTCGGAGATGGAAGTAGGGATGGAAGTGCAGATTTGGTAAGTGTATTTATTAAGTTAAAAAAAAAAATAGAAATGAAACATTATTTAAAAAAAATGTGAGTTTTGATTGAAATGGCTGAGATGTTTATCAAATAAATAAAGCCTAAAATAAATTACCAACTAAATAAAGCCTTGGTGGAATTTTTTTTTTTTTTCAAAAACAAAAATCTTGCAGATCCCAAACTTTTGGACAGTAGTGATTGTGCACATTTGCTCTTTAGTTGATTTAGCAACAATCTAATAATTTCTCATGTAAGCTTGCTCACTAAAATGTGAACTTTGATTGCAGGGACAGCTGTGATGACTAATATATATGGATCAATGGAGACAGTTGCACATAATTTGACAACACTTAAAAACATCTGGACATCAATAAAAGGTTACAAGACACCAACATTGGAGATGAACCTCATATGGGTAGATTACATTACATATTATAATTAGTAATATGGCTTTAAAAACTGGATTTTTAAACAACTGTACCTTTTAGTCCCCACCCCCCCCCCCCCCCCCCCCCCCCCCCCCCCCAGTTACATTTAACCCTGTTGCACACACAGTTCCATAAGATACAGAGAAAAGACATGCTTTTGATTTGTAAATAATCTTCCAAAACATTTGAATTGAACAATGTCTTGTTTGGAGGAGCCACACAAAATATTGTCAAATTCCAGCACTAGGTGGTGCTATAACAGAAATGTTCACATAACTCTGCAACCATTTGATGATTGGAGTTAAAGTTCAGTGTTCTATTTCTTTGTCATCAATATCTTAACAGATCCTTTTGTTCTAAAGATCATCTGTAAAAAAATGGTAAATGTACAAAAATGTAAAAATAATAATAATAATAATAAAATGTTCCAATTTCAACTGATTATAATGAAATCTATTATATTTGTGTTGTCTTCAAATGTTGTGATAGTCAGCCATGAGGTGGCATTACAACAAGGGAATCTATATTTTATCATATGGGTTAAAATATAGATTGAAATACTGATTCTCCTAATGTTGTACAAGGCAAATCTACAGGACTGTGCAGTTCAGTCTGTGAAGTTTAACTCCCAGGTTTCTTGCTGTCCTGGAAAGAGTTATGGTTGACAAACCTAGCTGAATGGAGAAGTTGATGGAAGTGTTGAGTTGGTCGAGACCACAAGTAGTTCTGTCTTTGCAAGGTTGAGTTGAATGTGGTGGTCCTTCATCCAGCAAGAAATATCTGTCAGGCAGGCCGAGGTGCGAGCAGCTGCCGTTGCATCATCTGGTTGGAATGAGAGGTAGAGATGTGCATCATCAGCATAGCTGTGATAGGAAAAAACATCTTTCTGAATGACAGATGACCGTGAGGACTGACATGTAGATGGAGAAGAGAAGTGGTCCAAGCACTGAGCCCTGAGGCACCCCAGTAGCTAGATGTTGTGATGTAGACACTTCACAACACTCTGAAGGACCTACCTGAGAGGAAAGACTTGAACCATTGGAGTGCCATATCTGAGATGCCTTGAGGGTTGACAGGAGGATCTGGTGGTTAACTGTGTCAAAAGCTGCACACAGATCCAGCAAGATGAGTACTGGGGATTTGGAAGCTGCTCTTGCCAGTCTCAGAGAAGGGAGGGAAACATGAAAGGAGGTATTGGGAAATTTCACCTGTAGTAAGTTAGTCTGGTCACTAGGAACGTATACAACAACCTTTGGAACATGAAAAAATAAAATATAAAAAAACCTTTTGGTGAATTACAGTAATTAAAAAAAAAAAATATATATATATATATCCTAGTGACCAGACTGACTTAATACAGGTAAAATTGTGCCAATACCTGCGTTAATATAAGTCAGTTTGGTCACTAGGAATGTACTATAACCTTTGGAACATGGATCGGGGAAAAAAAACTTTTGCTGAATTACAGTAGTTTATAAAAAATAACTGTTTACATACAGTAGCCTACATTCAGGCAGGTAGGCTATGTATTGGCACAATTTCATCTGTAGTAAGTCAGTCTGGTCACTAGGAACGTACTACAACCTTTGGAACATAAAGAAAAAAACCTTTTGGTGAATTACAGTAAAAAAAAAAAAAAAAAACTTTGTAGGCCTACTGTACAATCGAGATGTTGGCAGAAGCTCATATAGCATATACAGAAAGTAAGTCTTCCCACTAGGCATAACTATAACTTTGTAATTATCGTTCATTTGAATGAATGATTGGACGTTTATTTTTGGACTGTGAGTAGAATTTGCTGACGGTCCCTGATTTAACAGCCTATAGGCGAATATGCAGCAAAACTAACTTTACCGCGCCACACAAGCTTCCTGTTCCGTTCAGTGCTTTTCTTCTGTGCAAATCATCGTCAGGCACTCACTGTCAGTGTCACCAGCAGCACATGTGAAGTGCCAGCCGCGTTGTAAGTCTGTCTCTCTACTGCAGTCAACTACATTTAAAAACGCATTACGGGGTTGTGTGCCCAGAGGTAATAAAAGTGTGTGTTTGTGACTTGTGTGCATAGGTTAAAGTGTATTTTCCCATAGCTACTCTATATACCTCAGCAGACGCAAGTTAAGTTATATCAGCATTGTTTTGTGCAGATGCTGTTTGTGTAGGCTAGGTCTACACTAAGGAAGTTCCCGCCACAAAAGAAAAAGAAAGTGATTTCGACGTGTTATCACACAGTTCTGACTTTTTTCCCTCTGCTGTTACTTCATATCTCAATTCTGAGGAGGAGGAGGGGGGAGGACAGAAATTCGACTTACCCCCTCATAATTGTGAGGCTAAACTGGTTTTAAACTTTTTTTAAACTTATAAAATCAGAATAGAGAGATTAGATTTAGATGGAGAGATTTCTCTTTTTTTATGAGAAACTTGATAAAAACGTCTAAACTGTGTACCTTTCTGAACTTGTTTAGCAAGCCCTTTTGTGAATGTTTTAGAATACGATGCGTTTCTGATGTTTACATTTATTTGTAGCCTATAATGTTTTTCAGAATAGTGCCGATATATAGTGGAATCTGCAGAAAATGTTTAGTTGGAGGTGGACATGTTTTTTTTTTGTTTTTTTTTACCATTTATAATTATATTATAATTTTCATTTGGTCATGTTTGTACAGGAGCCCCACCCATTCTGATTTAAAAAGATTCCAAACTGCTGTTATTCTACAGTGAATCTTGGGTTTGAAAGCACCAAAATGGCAGACTCTCTCTTTGATCCTGAACATCATTTAAACTGCCCGATCTGTCTGAATCTGCTTAAGAACCCAGTGACTACATCTTGTGGGCATAGTTTCTGCATGGACTGTATTGAGAGCTGCTGGGACCAGGAGAATTATAGAGGCGTTTACAGCTGCCCTACATGCAGGACAGCATTCAACCAAAGACCAGCTCTCAGCAGAAGCACTGTACTGGCTGATATTTTAGGGGGAATGAAGCAGAAAGCTCCAGCTGGACCTGGAGACGTGAAGTGTGATGTTTGCAAGGGAATAAAAGTAAAAGCCATCCAGTCTTGTTTGGTTTGTATGGCTTCTTACTGCCAAACTCATGTTCGATCTCATTATGAGTCTAAAGCTTTTAAAATACACAAGCTGGTCAAAGCTTCCCCAAATCTACAGCATCAGATCTGCCCTCACCATCATAAAGCACTGGAGATTTACTGCTACAATGACCAGAAGTGTATTTGTGTAGTTTGTATGGGGAATCAGCACAGTGGACATAAAACAGTCTCAGCTGCAACTGAAATGGCAAAAAAACAGGTACAGTAAGGTGTGTGTGTATGTATGTATGTATGTATGTACAGCTAAAAAAAAAAAAAAAGACCACTGCAAGATTAGCAGTTTCTCTGGATTTATTATTATATGTATCTGTTTGAGTAAAATAAACATTTTTGATTTTTTCTACAAACTACTGACAACATATCTCTTTCAAATTTCAAATAAAAAGTATTGTCATTTAGAGAATTTATTTGCATAAAATGACAACTGGTCAAAGGAATAATGCAAAGAAAACAAGTTTATCAACAACACCATGATGGGGAGCATGCCAAGATGATTGAAAGCTGTGATTGGAGATCAGGATTATTCCACCAAATATTGATTTCTAAATTCTTCCAAAGTTAAAACAGTATTGTGTGGTTTAAAAATAAACTTGTTTTGCAATATGCAAGGTCAGAAAATGTATCTTTTTTTTGTTGTTATTTTGACCAGTTATGTTCTGCAAAAAAGAAAAGAAAATGTTCTAAATTACTATTTTTATTTGAAATTTAGAGAAAATGTTAACAGTAGTTGTAGAATAAATCAAAATGTTTGTTTCACTCAAACGGATACAAATAAATAATCAATCTAGAGAAACTGCTCATTTTGCAGTGGTCTCTTAATTTTTTTCAGAGCTGTGTGTGTGCAGTAAAAATTACTTAAATGTTATATATATATATTTTTTTATGACAAACCAAGAAAATGAACAGCAGATTCATGTACAAATACAAATAAACTGATAAAGAACAGGATTCTTATTGATTGTGAATTCATCCTCAGGAGGAACTGAAAATAAAAAAGAGGAATTTCATTCAGCAAACCACTGACATGGACAAGGAGATTCAGCAGTCTATGAGCAATTTAAAATTGCATAAGGTATGCCCATTAAACCTGGATACTGCTGTGATGCATACCTGGAGGAATATTTTTGATATTTGCATAAATGTATGTACACTGCACAGTTATGTTTGTCTCATGGGATCAGGGTGGATATTATTAAATGGCCATCAAGATGCAGTCAGATGATGTCATACCAGCAGGGGCTAAAGCTAACCAGCAAAACCTTGACCTCGTGACACAAACAAGCAGCAATGTTTTCTGTCTTTACACTTTTCAGGACAACCAATGAATGGCTTACCTTATAGTTTACTCTGCATACTGTATATGATCTGTCGTGTCAATGTGTCAGAAGTTTGACCAAGTGTTGTGTGTGTTGTGACAGCGCTCTGCACAGGTAGCAGTGGAGAACATTGACCGAATCTTCACCGAGATCATCCGCTCCATTCAGAACATGCGAGCCGAGGTGAGAGAGAAGATCAGAGCTCAGGAGAACAAGGAAGTGCGAGATGCAGAGAGTCACATACAGGGACTGCACCAGGAGATTGTTAAACTACACAAGGAGAATTGTAAGCTGAAGCCACTTTTACATACTGAGGATCACGTTTATTTCTTCCAGGTAAAACTTTTTTTTTTTTTTTTTTTTTTTGTGTTGATTCTTGTTTGAAAGGTATTGTCTTTATATCCAATTTCAGAATTACGCTTCCTGTTCTACATTCAGTCAGCGCACAGCTTCACCCAGGAAGATTAATGACATCCTGACATTTGAGAATGTAGAGAAATCTGTATCCCGCCTGAAGATACAACTGGACAAACTCTCTGAAGAGCACATGGGGAGAATATCAAAGACAGGTGAGATAACAACGTCAAGAACTATTCTGCTTTTTTAAACTACTAAATTTGTTTCATCTGTATCAAATCTGCTGAGTGTCCTGATACAATGTATTACAATAAGCAACCAAAAAGTACAAGTACAGTGTGTTCTCTCAACTTAATCTATAAATACATCTATATAATGGACCAGTTTGAGATGGAGTGCTTATTGGCAGCTAAATTCACCACAACATTGGAGACAGAGACTATATAATGTCCTGTTATACAGATATAAATGGGAGAAATCACATTGCTGTGGGAATGTTGACTGAAAACTGTTCCTCAAATGTTGTATAACATTGTCATGCATCTGACTGAACTCATGACCGAATTCTCACATAAGTGAATATTGTATATCTGTCTTCATAGTTGCTGATGTCCACATATTTAAAAAAAAGGTTCCAGAGCAGTAAGTACACTTTTCTATCAGAAAAAACAAACACACATTTTTTGATACTATAAGACATAGGTCGTTCTTGTTTCAACAACCAATACTTATCAAGGAATTCAAAGATGCTCGCATTATACTTCACAAATAACAGTCATGTTTGAGTTCTTTACTCACTGAAACATGCATGTTTTTTTGTTTTGTTTTTTAAGATCGAAATTGCCGTCTGTTGCTGGAGGAGATGGATTCGTAAGTGAATTTATGAATTTCAAACCACACTTATACTTGCTAATCTTTTTTTTTTTTTTTTTTTAAAGTGATTGCAGTGGCTGAGATATTTATTAATCATAGATATTTCCTGTCATCATGTATTATCACTTACAGTAGAGCTTGTCTAAGACATGTTCACTATAACAAACAGCACTTTAATTGTTTTATTGCTTTAATAAAACAGCAATAAGAGAAAAGACACAAATGTTAAATAAATAATATTTTAATAATAACAATTATCAATTCTTTCACCAAGTAATGTAGTTAATTAGCATAATTGCATGCTGAAAATTAGTACATTCATATAATATTAAATTGTTTTGTGGTTATGTGTTTGTGTTTAATTAACCCTTGAATGTGAAACATCCAATTTTACAGCTTTTAGTGTTTAAAAAATCAGTTCACATCTGTGCATATTTTCTGTATTTAGCAACTACTATTTTATATGTAATAACTTTTATTTCTAAAAAATATGATTGTTTGAATATAATATGACCTTGATTGCAGTGACTCGGATTTGGAGTCGGATTTGGATTCGGATTGGGAATGATTGACTGCATCTACCAAAGGACATTGTTGCTGAATGGGTAGATTACTTACATTAGCTTGATACCGTAATTCCTCAAATAAAGGCCGGGGCCTTTATTTACCTGAACTGCAGATGGTAGCCGGCTTTTATTTGAAGCAGGCTTTTATTAGAGGCAGGCCTTTATTTCTAATTCGCGATCCCCGCCCGCCCGCCAGCCAACTTTCCATGGTGACGCGTCATGCTTGGCACGTGTTCACCACAGCCAAAATAGCGCTATATGACAGATGTAGCGCTTTTATTTCTAAATATTAACAAACTTGCTTACCATGTCATCAACTATCTTCTATTCTGACTCTCAAATCCGTGTAAGTGAGTTTGTTTTGTCGTTTAAAACCCTTTATAAATTATCTTGATCTGTAACGTGAGATGGGCACCGCAGTTCGGAGATTCCTGTTGTATTTGTTAAGTTACAGCGCGTGAATTCTTCAGTTTCTCCCGAAATACATAAAAGTAAGTGGCCGGTGAACTGGGAGAAGAATAGAGTAAACTTTATAGTTACTTACACTGTGTATCTGATATGAATAAAACACGTCGCCAAATATATTTGAATGGATTGTTATTGCTGCTTCCATAGACACCATTGTGTATTTTACAAACTATAAATTTATTGTTTTGCTATAAATCATATCTATTTAAATGTCTGAAACCTAAAATAAACATGTGGTTAAAAACACTTAATAGTTGTGATATATGACAAGCGCTGAGCGCGTCCGTCTTTGAGTGTACATTCATTTAAAGTGTACCTATTCACACTATTTTTTCCCCGGCCTTAATTTGAGACCGGCCTTTATTTGTCCGCGTTGACCACGCCCCTGGCCACTATCAGAGGCCCGGCGTTTATTTGAATACCGGTCTTTATTTGAGGAATTACGGTACTTAAATGGCTATAAAGCTATTGCTCAGTTACTCAGTAAATCTTTTTTGTGATAATTATGAAAAACATTTGAACAGAACAATGGATTTTTTGGAATGGCTCATTGACTAATTAACCTGTATGTTTGGAGGTGCCTTACAAAATATTGTCAAATTCCAGCACTAGGTGGTGCTATAACAGAAATGTTCTCATAAGTCTGCAACCATTTGATGATGGAAGTTAAAAATTCAGCCTGCTATTTCTTTGTCATACATGTGTTAACATAGACTTATTTGTCCAGAGATCATATGTACAAATCAACAAATGAAATGCTCACATTTATAATTATATTACAATTATATTTAAGTTGAGTATACCATAAATATAATTATAAGATAATATAAATATATCATGTTTGTTTTTGTGTCAAATTTGGTAAAAGTCAGCCTTAATGTGGTGCTATAATAAAGGAATGTATATATTTTTTTACTTTAACCCAGGAACTATTGAAAAATATATATATATATATATATATATATATACAGGTCCTTCTCAAAAAAAATTGCATATTGTGATAAAGTTCATTATTTTCCATAATGTAATGATACAAATTTAACTTTCATATATTTTAGATTCATTGCACACCAACTGAAATATTTCAGGTCTTTTATTGTTTTAATACTGATGATTTTGGCATACAGCTCATGAAAACCCAAAATTCCTGTCTCAAAAAATTAGCATATCATGAAAAGGGTCTCTAAACAAGCTATTAACCTAATCATCTGAATCAACTAATTAATTCTAAACACCTGCAAAAGATTCCTGAGGCTTTTAAAAACTCCCAGCCTGTTTCATTACTCAAAACCGCAATCATGGGTAAGACTGCCGACCTGACTGCTGTCCAGAAGGCCATCATTGACACCCTCAAGGAAGAGGGTAAGACAGAAAGAAATTTCTGAACAAATAGGCTGTTCCCAGAGTGCTGTATCAAGGCACCTCAGTGGGAAGTCTGTGGGAAGGAAAAAGTGTGGCAAAAAACGCTGTACAACGAGAAGAGGTGACCGGACCCTGAGGAAGATTGTGGAGAAGGACCGATTCCAGACCTTGGGGGACCTGCGGAAGCAGTGGACTGAGTCTGGAGTAGAAACATCCAGAGCCACCGTGCACAGGCGTGTGCAGGAAATGGGCTACAGGTGCCGCAT